TTTTGGAAGCGTTCTTCTGCTTCTTGCTTTTTCTAATTTATTTGGTGCTAAATTTGTTTTATCATAAATTTATTTCCATTGGTCTGCTACATCCCTTTTCATCTCATTCTGTTGTTTTAAATTCCTGTATGTGAGCTCTTGTTTAATTAAATGCATGCTCTTATTAAATAAACTTAGCACATGAAACACTTGTGGGAATTCTCTCTGGTATAATTGGTTTATATTTTCTTCTAGAGTCAGCTTTTTCTGTCTCTTTTCATGAAATGTGATATAATTTCTTCTTTCCCTATGTTTTCAGGCTTGTTATGTCATTTCTTGCTTATGCTGAGCTAATTCTATCTAAAACGTCTCTTTGCTCTGATAAAATGTGGGTGAATTCTTGTCTACCTTCTAAGCAAATGTGACAGTAGCCCTCTGTCTCTGCACAGTGCAGTTTGAGGTTTGGCTGACATATTTTATGTACACGCTTTACCGTATTTTGAGGGTAAAGGGCTGTGGGGATAGAGGTATAGAGGTGGGACTGTATACTCTGGATTACAGTGGATGGGTTATTCCTTCCTCAGATGTTCTTAAGAAAATCTACCGAGGAAGTTTTATTTTTTTTTAATAAGATTTTTTTTAAGGATTTATTTATTTGAGAGAGAGAGAGAGGGTGGGGGAGCGGCAGTGGGAGAGGGAGAGAGAGTCTTAAGCAGACTCTGCACTGAGCACAGAGCCTGATGCGGGGCTCGATTTCGTGACCCTAAGATCATGACTTGAGCTGAAACCAAGAGTTGGACACTCAACCGACTGTGCCACCCAGGCTCCCCTTTAAAGGTTTTATTTTTAAGTAATCTCTCCACCCAACGTGGGGCTCAGTCTCACAACCCAGAGATCAAGAGTCACATGCTCCACGGACCAAGCCAGCCAGAGGGCCCCCTGCGGAAGTTTTCTAACTGGCTGGGGCTGAATCCCTTTCCATAGAGGAATGTCTGAGGCCTTACATCATGCGGTCAAATCTGCTGTGGCCCAGAAACTTCTTTTCTATCAGGGAGACAACTTTACTGTGGGCTTCCCAATGTTCTTCTATTCATGGAGTGTCAAAAGGATTCAGAGTTATACCTTGTTAGGTCAGATTTCCTGGCTTTCTTCTTTAACAATTAGATTGTGTATGACATGACGTTGTCTTTTTTCTCATTGGCTTGTTGGTATGTTTTTATTTCTGTTTTGCAATTTTATTTTAAAGTCACATTGCTTGAGGTAGAACTTACCTATGACAAAATGCACCCCATCACAGACAAGATATAGAACATTTTCATCACCCCCATAAGTTCTCTCCTGCTACGTGGAGACAGTCCCACCTCCCACACAAAGCTCCGGGAAACTGCAAATCTGCTTTCTATCACTACTTAGTTCGATCTTTTCTAGGTTTTATAAAAATGGGATCCTACAGTATGTACTCTCTTGTGCCTGGCTTCTTCGATTCAGGATGTTTTTGAGATTCATCTATGTGGGTGCCTGTACCAGCAGTCCACTCCTTTTTATGGCTGAGTAGTATTCCCTTGTGCGGACACACCACAATTCATCAACTGATTCACCAGTTGAAAGACATTTGGATTGTGTCCAGTCTCTGGCTATTATGAAGAAAGCTGCTATGAACAGTATTTTATTAGTCTCTGTATAGACGTGTTTTCCATTTTCTGGACTAGCACGAGTTCTGGAATCACTGGATTTGTTTAAACTCAAAATACTCTCCAAAATGAAGTTTCTTTTTACATGCTTACCAGTAATGTATAAGAACTCCTAAATTTTATTTATTTTAAGCGTATGTAGTGGTATCTTATTGTGATTTTATTTTCCATTTCTCTTATGACTAACAATGTTGATCCTCTTTTCACATGCTTATTGGTCATTTATATATGTTCCTTTTTAATTGTTCAAATTTTTGTCCATTGTTACATTGGGTTACTTGTTTTTTTATTATTGAGTTGTAAGAGTTCTTTATATTTTTAGAGTTATTTATACTTAAGATATAAGCTTTTTGTCAGATATATTTTTACCACTAATTTCTCCTAGTCTGTGGAGATTTTCATTTTCATTCTTTAACGGTATTTTTTTGATGCCCATTATATCATTTTTTATTTATTTTGTGCTTTGGATATGCTGTGTAGGAAGTCTTTGCTTACCCAAGGTTATAACAATTTTTTCCTGTTTTTTCCCCCCTAAAAAGTTTACAGTTTTTAGGTTTTATATTTAGATTGATGATCCATGGTGAGTAAATTTTTATGTGTGTTATGAGGTAAATACTGACGTTCACAGTTTTTCATATGGATATCAAGTTATTCAAGAACCATTTGATGGAAAAAAAAAAAACCTTACCTTTTTCCCATTGAATTACCCTGGAATGTTTGTTGAAAATCATTGGATCATATACTGACTATTTCTGGACTCTGAATTCTGTTTCACTGATGTTCATGTTTAGCTTTACTCTAATATCACACTCTGTTATCATAGTTTTATAATAAGTCTTGAAATAAGACCATGTAAGTCCCAAAACTTTGTCATTTGTTTCTTTTTCCAAAATTGTTTTGGGTAGTCTAAGTTCATTTATATATGTATTTTTAAATCAACTTGTCAATTAAATTTACAAAGGAAAATTGCTCACCAATATTAAGTCATAATGTAATTTGTTTTTATCAACTACGGTGATTAGTAAATAATACCCTCTTATTTATATATGCATCTGGGTAGACATTTACACACTGCTCAGATGTACAGAAATGAGACTGTTTTAATTTCTAAACCATTCCCAATATTCCTAACCAACTCCCAGTCCCCATGAAAGCAGAACTTGCTACTTCAAGGTTACCTGTTTCTGGTTTAAAGCTGAGTGTTTTAAGGAAAAATACTCAGGATAAATATTTACTTTTTCAGGATTTCTCCTCCTTCTGTCTGTCCATTCCCTGTTCTCCAGGGATGATCCGGAAGTGTGGTATAAGATAGGCTGGAAGGGGTAGGAGGTTTGTTGGTGTGATGTCATTATAGATAGAGGCCTGAACAAAGTCAGAAGGAATGCAGAGGAGACAATAAATACGAGTCCAGCTGCCATCTCAGAGAGGCTCAGGACCACGCACCCAGGTCACTAGCCCCAGGTCATGAGGTCTCCGAACATGTGGAACTTTTTCTACATCCTTTTCCATACACTTACAGTAAATGAACAAGTGTGTTTATACCACTTCCGTTAATTTATGCTGTGAAATCTCAAAAAAATACTGGTTTACTGATTTATTATAGCAGCAAAACTTTTTAAAGATTTCATCTATGTACAGCAATGCACTACTCACTCATCAGCAAGGCGGGGGAAAACGCAGCCGATTTAGTCCCCCTTAACGCTTTAGTACGGATTCCAGTGCCACCTTGTGGTATTTCAGGGGCTTACAGGCTGATGATTTCCTTCCAACATTTCTTACTGGTTATGAAATTGATTTTCTTTTTTAAAAAGATGGACACCTTATCTCTTTGAAAAGCAAATCTTATTTTTAATATTTGATTTTGAAACTTTTAATAAAACCTACCTGTAGCTTTCCACATATTTAAAAGGACATTGTAGGGGTGCCTGGGTGGTTCAGTCTGTTGAGCCACAGACTCTTCGTTTTGGCTCAGGTCATGATCTCACTGTGGGGGGAGCCCCCCATCAGGCTCTGCGCTCATTGTAGAGTCGGCTTCAGATTCTCTCTCACTGATTAGAGTAAGGGGGCAATAATTTTATTTTAGACATTAAAAATTTATTTTCATAACTCTAAAAGATCAATAAAAGATGGTTAATTTAATTAAAAAGCTAATAATTCAATGTGCCTGAGTAGCTTGTGTGTGTGAGAGTAATTAAAGGCATAGATAAATGAAGAAATTGTAGGGGCGCCTGGGTGGCTCCGTTGGTTGAACGTCAGACTCTTGGTTTTGGCTCAGATCATGATCTTAGGGTCGTGGGGTTGAGCCCTGCATTTGGCTCCCCACTCATTGAGGAGTTTGCTTGTCCCTCTCCCTCCGCTCCCCCCAGCCCCGTTTCTGCTTGCACACACACGCTCTCTCTCTTAAATAAATTAATAAATATTTTTTAAAAAGAAATTGTGAAGATCAAATATTAAAAGTATAAATTCCTTGGGGATTAATTAGTTGGTAATTACTGGAACCCCTGGAACATCTACTTGGGATGTTATGGGAGCCAAATACCTACTGGTTGCCCATGATAATCTCCGGGAAGGCCCATAGATTAGTTCATGTAAATCTTTGTGGTCTGCCAACACTTACACTTTTCCTTTTTTCAGGAATCAATAATATAAAACTTACATTTAATGAAAAACATCACTCGAGAAATATCTTTTCAAGCAGATTGTATCATTTTTCTGTGATTTCTTCTTTCTTTCTTCTTTTTTGGACATTAATGTGTTTTTGTTTTTTTAGAGCAGCAAGTAGAAGCAAGAAATATATCTTCTGCGGAGTATTTTTTTTCTCAGTAAAATTTGAAAAATACTGGTTCAGGTTCAGATTTTTTTAATTTATTATCACTTAGGCAAGTCAAAACAGGGCAGCCAGCAGGGGTCAGGCTTTTCAACTCTATGGAACTGAAATTTCTATGTCTTACAGTAATACATTTCTTTATTACTCCATTAGCGTTAAATTCTGCAGACCAGAATGCGTACCAGCTATATTGTTAAGGAGAAACAAAGCAAATAAGTGAGGAATTGTGAAGCTGGGGGAAGCTTTCTGAGTCAAAATCATTTATCCAGAGTAGTACCCATCTGCTACTAAAATAAGGAATTTCATTTTTTTTCAAAAGACTCCTTACTTGGTATGCGTATTTCTTCTGGCAATTGCTAATGAGTCAATCAATCCTTTGCATTAGGTTTTCTATGTGTGTAACAATGGACAAGTCTGAGGTCTATTTTAGAATGTTGAAAAGTAATGGAGACATGTAATGCTTTTGTTCTGAATATGACTAATTGTGGTTATTTTAAATTCAGGACCTGGCCCTTCATTATCAAAAGCCCCAAGCAGTATAAAAACCTTTCTTTCATGGACGCAATGAATAAGTTTAAATGGGCTAAGAAGGAAGGTCTTTCCTTCAACAAGCTAGTCCTTAGCTTGCCCGTGAACGTGAGATGCTCCAAGACAGACAATGCAGAGTGGTCGGTAAGCCCTACTTTGTTTTCATCTTGGGAGAAACCAGATGTCACATTTTACCTAATCCCCAACAGGTAAAATCTAAGGAACAGACAAATATCCATAAATCCAATGTTTCAGTTGTCTTTTGATATGTCTGTAATTTATTTGTTCCATAACTGCTTGCATTGACTGAAAACTCCTGATTCCACTCCCTATGAAGGGGGAAGATTGACTGTCCAACTAATGTCACAATGAAGCAGGAATAGGATGAGATGAGAGCTTCAAAAAGCAACAGAGCTGAGTTTATATCTCTTCTTCCCAAAGGCGCCTGTGGCTCTCTTCCTCACCTCCCTCCGAGTCCCTAAGGCTCTGATTCCCCTGACGGTTGACTCCTTGGGCAGCCACCCCTTCCCACCGACCCCTTTCACCCTGCCCAAGTTGGGGAGCTGAGCAAGACCTTCTCTTCAATCATTGGCATTGTCTACTCTTTGGGTTTCAGATTCAAGGGATGACAGCGTTACCTCCCCATGTGGAAAGACCGTATAAAGCAGAGCCTTTGGTGTGTGGAGCCTCTTCTTCCTCTTCCGTGCACAGAAATCGCTCTCTTGAGCTGCTCGTGGGCTTCATGGTACTCGGCAGCATGCTGCACAGCACACGCTTGTGTTCATCATTCTGTGCCTGGGGACGGTGTTTCCTGTGATCCGAACGCGTCGGGTTAAGGACACCGTGGGCATGAAGAGTGAGCTTGAGGCCTGTGGAGAACTTCCAGTCACACACGCCCTGCCTCCCCACGTCCATCCTTCCCTGTCTACCTGAGAGGTGTCCATTGGGTTCTCTTCTTTTGCTCAGATATGTCTGATAACATGTATCCATTGCCAATAAAACAAAACTGGACTGACAACCTTTTTAACAATTTGGACAAACTCAAGTGGAAGTGAAAGAGGTCTTTATTTCCTTCCATGGTTCATTTTATTTAAAGACTCGTTACCGTTATGTCACTTTTTAATTGGTGATTTGGCTTCCAGATTCCTTTCTTAAAATGCTTTCACCTTAAAAATGTAAAAGAAAGTACTCTCTGTTCCATGTTTCTTCCTCTTTAAAATTTTTTTTTTCTTTAATCTTCCTCTTTATTGTTCTTTGGGTGTGACTTCCGCAGTATGACAATGGTCCTCTCTGTCCTTCAGTGTTAACCCAGCTCTGCCCTTTTCTGTAAAAAACTGATGGGCCCCTTACCTAGTGCTTTTCAGTGATGCTCATTCTAGCTTCTTTGTTTATCTGAGGCTACTGGTATTCCCAAACTACTCTAAACCCATCTCAAAGTATTTTCTTTTTCCTTCCCTGCTCGGCGCTGACCAGGTGAGTTTTTTCTTGAGTTCTGTCACTCTCTAAAAAGAAAGAAGCTAAGGGAAACACAGAAATGGTACATAATGGATTGGAGGCTGAGGAGGAAATGTAGCTGTCTGCAAACTCCATGCTGTGAGGGGTCCTTCATGAGGTTCCGGGCCAAAGGCCAGGCAGTACAAGCCAGCCTAGGAGGGTGGGAGGTCCCTGCAGCACCTCACTGACCATGTTGGGTGTCATGTGTGTGGCGTCCTGACTCAATTTAAGTCACAGTTGCTAAAGTAGATTTATTTTTATATTAGTTAATAAACTAACTTTCCTTAGTAAAATCGTCACCAATGGAAAATCTTGTCACTTTTTAGGTTCCCTTTGTGTAGTTCAGCCAAATCTTGTTGTGTGTCCTTTCCTCATTTCTTAAGCTAAGTCTGTTTGGCTCATATTAATAAAGTAAATAAAATGAAATGTTTGTGTGGAATCTTGTACACTCTTTGAAATAAGGAAGAGATCCAGGACTGATGTGTCCAGTCAAATGGATTGAGAATGTTGCATTTTTGTATTCCATTTGTAAGACCTTTCTCTCCTGCAAACAATGTCTTCAACACAAACTATATCGTCTTTTAAATAAACATTGTATTTTGGAGTGTTTCCTTCTTGGTTCTCAGAATTTATCGCCTTAATTAAAACTGTGTAATATTTATGAGGCATATTTCATAGTTAACGTTACTTGTTTTTATTTCATAAGTGCTATATCTAATTTTATGATTTTCTATCCAAATACTTGTGTAAGAAACACGATAACCCCAAACACTCCCTATTTGAAATTTCATGTTTATTTTTACTTCAGAATGTCTGAATTTGAGATGTCAAAGTAGAGTGATTTCCTTTGGAAATTATGTAATAATATATTTGTTTTCATTGTTCTTAGTGAGGAAGGTGAATATACAGGCTAGAAAGGGATCCACAGCTTGTGGATTCAGGGAATCTACAGTTCCAGTTGATGTACTAAGAATGAAGCTGACATTCTTCTCTTAGGAATTCTCCTGAATGTGTAATTTTGAGGCATTGACCTCTTTATTTGAAATTAAGATAGGTTATCTGTTGAAAATTTGGTAGGATTCAGATTATATTTTTAAGTTAGTTTGCTCTTACAATGAGCAGAACTTCCTGAAGAGCCCAGGCTTTTTTTTTTTTTTTTAATTTTATTTATTTATTTGACAGAGAGAGACACAGCGAGAGAGGGAACACAAGCAGGGGGAGAGGGAGAGGGAGAAGCAGGCTTCCCGCTGAGCAGGGAGCCCAATGGGGAGCTTGATCCCGGGACCCTGGGATCATGACCTGAGCCGAAGGCAGACGCTTAATGACTGAGCCACCCAGGTGCCCCGAGCCCAGGCTTTTTACTCTACCCTTGGTCACATTGCATGACCTGTTTCCTAGGCTAGCAGGATTGCCTGAGACCCAAAGGAGGACAGAGTCTCCATGTCTGATGGTCCCTGCTTTGATCCTTAATGCAGGAAGGGTGGGAAAAACATATGTGATGACACCAATATTCACCAAAGCTGGGTGAGGTTGAGGGTATCTTGGATGATCACTTTCTCTGAAGGAGTCTCAGGCAGGATCAAGAGAGTCCTGGTAGTGATAAGAGAGATGCAGTCCACAGAGGCAAACCTATTAAGAGCTTTGAACTTCATCTTAATGGCTAGGGAGGCTCATGATGAGTGGCAAACAGAAGGACACAGAGAAGCACGGTAATGCATTGTACATAATTGTACTGTACAATTTGCTCACCCAAACTTATTGTTGGATACATAGCCATCTCTTGTTTTCCAATATGATAAACATTGTTGTGATTATAAGTATTTCCTTACAATAAATTACTATAAGTGAAATCACAGAATTAATAATTATCTTTTTCAAGAATTTTGAATTAATTGTAAATTGAATTTTGATGAATATTGCCAGATGTCTTCAACTTTTTGTTTAAATTATTTTCAGATGGTTCAGAATTCTATCCATCCATCTAACTATATCTATTATCTATCTATCTACCATCCATCATCTATCTACAGAGAAAGAATGATAATTTAAATATGGCAAAATGATAACAATTGAGGACTCTGGGTGAAGGGTTTTTAAGGATCTATTCTTTTTAAGTTTGAAATTATTTCAGAATAAAAAGCTACAAATGTGAATGAAATAATGAAGGATCCACCTACAGTACAATGATCCAAGCAGTCTTTCTCCCCAAGACAGTAACCCGCCGTTCTGGAGAGGCAAAAAGAGAAGTTGGGTTGTGATTATTCCTCAGATGCCTGTGGGAGATTATTTCTCAGTTTGTCAGTTCTGACTAAAGATGGGCATATGCCCAGTTTGGAGGTCTAGAACAAATAAAGGGCTTGAAGAATCCAGAGAGTGAAGAAAGATCCCCAAAACAAAATAGCAAGAGGTCTTGGAGTTTGGAATCATTCAAACACATATATATTATTTGTGTTCTTCCCTGGATTATAAACCTAATGTGTAGTAATGCCTATTCATTGAAGGGAGTCTAGAAAATATGGTGACTTTGAAAAAGTAAATAACAAAATCCATTAATCCTATTACATAGAGAAGACCACTTTTAACCTTTTGGTGCATATGCTTCTAGTATATGCCTCTGAAAACATATTTGTGTGAATCCATATATTGATGTTAGCCAGCACTGGCTTCTGCAACAAATACCAAAATCTGAGTGGCTTAACACAAATATCATGTTTATTCAATAGTTCAATGTATGTGATTCATTTGGTCACTGACTTTCCTTCTTAAGGCAATTCAGGTTCCCAAGATCCTGTGATTCCATCATCCCAAGATCCTGAGGGTCCTGTGCATTCACCTTGCGAATGGACAGAGACCTGATCTAGAAGTGACATATATCATTTCTGGATTCACTCTGTCAATTAAAATTAGCCACATGGCCTCACTGGAATGCAAAAGGGGCTGGAAATATAATGCTTAATGGGGTAGCTGCCTGCCAATGACGGTACTGTAGAAGAGCTGTCTCTGCTGCAATAGATATATTTTAGCAAAATCGACTTTTCATCTGGTTCAGTGATTCCAAGGTTTTCAAGAGTTAGAAACAATTAGACCAATATAGGGGTGCCAACTATACATTTTGTCAAATAGAGCACTAATCAGAATAACTACTATTTCACAAATTTTATGGAAAGCCTCCTTGGAGCCAGGCTCTGCACTAGTGTTGGCCTTAGAATTGTGAGCAAAAACAGATATTATCTTTGCCATGATGGAGATTTAGTCTTGTGATGAAGCTCATAGCTGAGTCAACTAAAATCTCCTATCACCAACATTTCACTTTAAAACATGGAAGGAGGGATGCCTGGGTGGCTCAGTTGGTTAAAACGTCTGCCTTTGGCTCAGGTCATGATCCCAGGATCCTGGGATGGAGTGCCACATCAGGCTCCCTACTCGGTGAGGAGTCTCCTTCTCCCTCTGCATGCCGCTTCCCCTGCCTTACTCTTTCTCTCTGACAAATAAATAAATAAAATTTTAGAAAAAATAAATGAAACGTTGAAGGATTCAGAATGTTAGTCCTTCAAATTGAATAAATTGAGCTTTGTGAAAAGCTTGTTCATTCACTTTTTTCCATAAACTTGGACCATGATTCCAGTCCGTATCTTAGTTTGATCATCTTAGCCCTACAAAATCTTGACTGACAGTTGAATCCAAATCCAGCATAGTCAAACTGTTACGTCATGAGCAGAAAAAATAATTGAATAGATTGATGGCAGCATCCCATACTCCCCTGGCCAGAGCTGTGTTCCATGGAAAATATGAAAAGTCATGGAAAGTTATTTCAAAGTTAGGCTTACTACAGAACTTCTCAGAGTCTTTAAAATATAAATATGCATCTGAAAGTCCAAAAGAAGTTATGTTCTATGAAACATTTCCCAATGTACTGTGCTGTGGTGGAGCAACATTCCCCAAGAAACAAGCTTTGGGACACACTACTTTCCTGGCAGAACATGGCCAGGTTTCTATAACAAGTTTTTGGAAGATTCCAAACTGTTCGTGGGCAACTATAAAACACAGCCCTACAGACACAGGCCTTCCACTTAGGGTTAACTGGTCTCTTCCTTACTTCCTGTTCTATTTTGCCAACAAACACACACTGCTTTTTTTTTTCTTAATTAATCTAGAGGTAGTATAATATACAGAGAGGATTTTAAAAAGTAATTTAAAAGGGAATATTAAAAAAGAATACACTAAAATGAATTACATGGCATGAATAAGGTATTTGAGAAATGTTGACCAATCAGGCTGTATGACTTTGGAAAGTTTATGATCTCTAAACA